TCACCATCCTCTCGGTATTGTTTCAAGATAAAATTCAAACTACTAGCATAGTGCTCAAGCCCCAATGACTTGGCTTCTGTCATGCCTCTAGCCATCCAGCTACCTCCTTGGACACTTGTAATATGGTCACATGGTTATGGAAAGTTATGAAGCATACCACTGAAATAAAATAAATGGTAAGACAAGAGACCATTCATGATAACAAAAAGACAATGTTTAGTAACAACTTCAAGAAGAAATGATCGGGACCTAGACTTTAAAAAAGAGCGACTATAGGGGATCCCTGGGTGGCTCAGCAGTTTAGCGCCTAGGGCGTGATCCTGGAGTCCTGGGATGGAGTCCTGCATCCGGCTCCCTGCATGGAGTCCTGCTTCTCCCTCTGCCTTTGTCTCTGCCTCTCTCTCTCCCCCTGTGTCTCTCATGAATAAATAAATTCTAAAAAAAAAAAAAAAAAAGCAACTATAAAACACAATAAAGGGAATATGTAGCTGTATGCATAATATACCTTGTTCACGGATAGGAAGAGTCAACCTGATAGACATGTTAATTCTCCCCAAACCAACTGACATATAAAAGCACTGTAATTGTAATCACAATCCAAATCCCATTAGGATTTAGGGTTAATTGGTCAGAAGTATTCTTAAATTCATCTGGAAAGATAAACATACTAGAAAATGCCAGGAAAAACTGTAAAAAGGAGGAACACTGAGGGGACCTAGGCCTCCCAAGACATTAAAATGCATCTTAAGAGGTGCCTGGGTGGCTCAGTCAGTTAAGTGTCTGCCTTCTGTTCAGGTCATAATCCCAGGGTCCTGGGAGTGTCAGGCTCCCTGCTCAGCTAGGAGTCTGCTTCTCCCTCTCCCTCTGCCTTCCCCTGCTCATGTCCGTGTTCTCTCTCTCTCTCTCTCTCTCTCTCTCTCTCTCTCAAATAAATAAAATCTTTGAAAAATAATTTTTAAAATGCATTTTAATGTAAATTCAGTATATAAGAAAAATAGCATTTCATATTAGTCAGGAAAAACAGAGTATTAAAACAGAAAAACTGGTTCACCATTTGAAGAAAAATAAAACTCAATTACTTACAAATAATCCTCAGCATTTACACCAAAATCAGTTCTAGGGGAATAAAGATTTAAATGTAAAAAAATGGAATGATGAAACTAGAAGAAAACCCGGGAGAATATGTTTATAATGCTGTATTGGTGAAAGCTGCCTAAGCATAATAAAGAGGGGAAATGAAGAGAGAAAAAAAGAAACACAAAAGTCAAAAAAGGGAAGGGTACTTACTTACTACAATTTTAAACCTGCATTTACATTGACCCAACAACTTCAATTCTTGATGTTCATCTTACAGAAACACTGGCATGAGTGTCTATAGCTGTATTTGAGAAATTCTCTGCAGCATTGTTTGTAAAACACTGGAAATTGCCAAAATGTTCATCAATACAGGAATGGTCAAATAAATTATAATGCCTGCATACTATATATTATGAAGCTATTAAAAATAAGGTAGATTTATTTATTCTAACATGGTAAGATGACAAAATTAACTGAAAGAGATAAGTTTCAAACAGCATGTATATGATTCCACTTAACAAAAAAAATCACATGCTAAATTATTGCTAATCTTTTTGTATTTTATATAAATAACACTGTTTAAAGGTACTAAGTTCTCTAACTGAAAAGCTAGAATATTCATCAAGACATATTTTTAGGGATGCCTGAGTGGCTCAGTGGTTTAGCGCCTGCTTTTAGCCCAGGGCATGATCCTGGAATCCTGGGATCGAGACACACATCAGGCTCCCTGCATGGAGCCTGCTTTTCTTTCTGCCTGTGTCTCTGCCTCTCTCTCTCTCTCTTTCTCTGTCTCTCATGAATAAACAAATAAAATCATTAAAACAAAAAGGACATATTTTTAGCATAATTAGGTTTCTATGAAAGAAAAATATTAGAACATATGTAATGTTTTTTAAGGCTAATTCTGCTGTTAGGGTGACAAATTACTAGTTCAAAGCCTGAAGTGGGAAGAAAGTATTTTATACTTTTTTAAGTCTAACTTTTTAAATAAGTACTACATTCAAATAGGCTAAATATTCCAAAATTACAAAACTGTGTTTTCTGAAATGTCTCCTCTCCCCAGCACCTTCCTCTCCCCTAAGGCAATCGTATTTCAAGTTGTTGGATATCCTTGAGAAATATTCTGTACACATATAAGCAAATAAGCACATAGTTTTCCTTTTTTAAAACCAACTTTTACACCCTTTATTGTACTCTTAATAAAGAATGAAGTTCACTTAGCTTGCAAGGTTTTGGAGGGGGGTAAGATTTTATTTATTTATTGAGAGAGAGAGCATGAGGGAGCCCATACAAGCAGGGGGAAGGGGCAAAGGGAGAGGGAGAAGCAGAGTCACCACTGAGCAGGGAGCCCAAGGCAGGACTCCATCCCAGGAATCTGGCATCATGACCTGAGCCAAAGACAGATGCTTAACCCACTGAGCCACCCAGGTGCTCCAGCTTGCGGGTTTTAAAAGGATTTTTAATATTACATTTCATAGCTTTATTCTGACTTCCATATTTCTCAAAGTTTTGGGAATTTCAATTGGATTCCTGAAGCAAAAGGAAACACTAAATACAGTAATATTTAAGAAATACTAGACATAAGGGCAGCCCGGGTGGCTCAGGGGTTTAGCACCACCTTTAGCCCAGGGAGTAATCCTGGAGTCCCAGGATTGAGTCCCATGTCGGGCTCCCTGCATGGAGCCTGCTTCTCCCTCTGCCTGTGTCTCTGCCTCTCTCTCTCTCTCTCTCTCTGCCTCTCATGAATAAATAAATAAAATCTTTTTTTAAAATTATGGTAAAAATTATTTTAAAAAAAGAAATACTGGACATAACATTTATTGTGGAAACTCTCAGTTGAAGTTCTTTGATATATTCCACTTATTCCACATGCTTAACTGATGTTAGATTAACAAATGCAGGTTTGTTTATAGGTTTATAGAATGGTGAGGTCGGAATTTTAGAACTATGCTTCAAATGCTTCAAAACACATAAACTTGTAATTTTTTATTGTTCTCTATTGATTGTTCACATTTTTATACTTACTGGACTCTTGGTCTGAGATACTCATCTGGATGGTGCAAGGTTCCACTACTCAGCATCTCAATACTCTTCCTGTATTAGCATTTACAACACAACTTATCCTTTTTTGTGTGGTGAGATCCTTGAAGGCAGAGAACATGATTTCAGTGATTTTTATGTTACCCAACCCCAGTGCTCTGCCTGGCAGTATTAGACTTTAAATAAGTCTTGGTTAAAGAAACAAAGTTTATACCAGAGGCAATAAGTTGAGAAGGTAGTATCTAATATTGTAAAGATTATGTGCCTCTCTGTCAAAGCGAAAGCAGAGAAGTGGACAAGTACATTTGGGAAAACTGCAGATAGCTTAGTGTGACTGGGTGCACAGTTTAAATAAAAGAGGTGAGGCTGGGAATCCCTGGATGGCTCAGCGGTTTAGTGCCTCCCTTCGGCCCAGAGCATGGTCTTGGAGTCCTGGGATGGAGTCCCACATCAGGCTCCTGCATTTCTCTGCCTATGTCTGCCTCTCTGTCTCTCATGAATAAATAAAATCTTAAAAAAAAAAGAGGGGAGGTTGAAAAGGTACACACCAGAATGCTTCAATGGTTAAAATTCAAAATATTGAGTTTAGCAAGCTATACACAAGGTTGTTCCCCAACTAGCTCTGAAGCCTAGCCTACTGCCACCCACTCCCTTAGCTATGGTAATATCTATTTACTTACAATTCCCTAGAAGTATCACATTCTTTCATTAGCCTTCCTTTTGCTTTCTCTTTTGCAGTGAATGTTTTTCTCCCTTTAAAACTCAGCTCAATGGCAGTTCCTCAGAGAGTTAAAAATGGAGCCACCTTAGGACCTACCAATTGCACTACTAAGTATACACCCAAAGATACAAATGTAGTGATCCAAAGGAGCACCTGCACCCCCATGTTTATATAACAGCAGTGGCTATTTCTCAATAGCTAAACTATGGAAAGAGCCCAGATTTCATCAACAGATGAATGGATAAAGATGTGGTATACATATACAATGGACTGCTACTCAGCCATCAAAAATGCCATTTGCAATGATGTGGATGGAGCTAGAGGGTATTATGCCAAATAAAATGTCAATCAGAGAAACACAGTTTTATGGTTTCGTTCATATATGGAATTTAAGAAACAAAGCAGAGGAGCATAGAGGAAAAAGGGGAAAATAAAATAAGCCATAATTAGAGAGGAAGATAAACCATAAGAGACTCTTAACCATAGGAAACAAATTGAGGGTTGCTGGATGGGTGGAAAGTGGGGGGATGGGATAACAGGGTGATGGGCATCAAGGAGTGCACATGATGTAACAAGCACCGAATGTTCTGTACAACCGATGAATCACTGAACTCTACTTCTGAAACTAATAATACACTATATGCTAATTAAATTTTTAAGTGACATCTTAAAAAAAAAAAAACTCAGCTCAACGACTTTCCTTTCCCTATTCCATCAGATTTGATACACTGTCTCCCCAGTTGACCTGTACTTTACGGTTCCCTTAAGCTCATTGACATATATGGTTCCCCACTAAAATCTAAGTGATGTGAACACAGGTTTCTCTACTTGGCATCTCCAGCTTTCTTGGTGGTAGACAGACACTCCTGTTTGATATTCTTGAAGGTAACTGATTCCATTTTCCATTATGGCTCCCACCTCAACATTTGAAAGTACAAGGACTCACTTTGCGGACTGTGAATCCAAGTTCACAGAGTGGTGTAGCCTAAAATTTAGCTCAAACAAAATGATTCGTTAGCCACTCTTGGTGCCCCTCACTAGCCAACAGGGTGAATGCCAGGCCAGGGCTCCAAGGTTCTCGGTTTGCACCAATGCACTCCAAACATTTCCCTGTACTCAATGTGTATGCAAGACACAGTCAAGACCAAGGCAAATAACATACATAGACGCCTGGACTTGCACACAGCTCTTCCACTTGCAATTTGGTGGATTACAAGGCCATGGACTTCACGTGAAAAAGACAAAAATCCAAGGACTGTGAGGTTGCCCAGAGCAGGCCCAAGCACCTTTGTTCTGCACTTCTTCCTCGGCGGGTTTCCAGAATCTCAGGCTGAGGAACCGAGCCAATGACAGACGCCCAAAGACGCAAAAGAGGAGCCGGCAGAAAGGAGGTCCGGGCAGGGCTTTGTTCCGAGAGGTTCCTGCTCCCACCTCAGCTCCTGCACGGGGCTCGATTCCCAAGCCCTCATTGTCCTCACAGGCGGCAGCGGCCCGCGAACTTGGGAATTCGTAGTTGGCCCAGGACCGCACAGCTCCTTAGCAATCCCCGCTCCCGCCAGACACTTCCGCACTGCCGGGCCCCGCGGGCCGGAGGAAGGAACTCCAGAAAGTTCCACGAGCGCTGGGAACCCAGGTTTAAGCCCACCCCCACAAGGCCCTTCGGCCCAGCTCCTCCCAGCCCGAGCGCCCCCGCGCCGTTGCCGAGGTAACCGCGGGGCGGTGGCAGCGGCGAAAGGGGCGGGACTTCCGTGGAGTGACGCGCCTGGACTCGGCTACAAAAGGCGACGGCTGCGGCGCGCCGGGCGGAACTTTCCAGAACGCTCGGTGAGACGCGGAGGAGCGGCGGCTGCCCGAGCTGCGCCCAGCAACGCGCTCCTTGCCGCTCCCCCACACCGGCTTCGGCCCTCTCACCGGTGAGTTTCGGCCCTCGCGCTTCCCCTCCTCCCAAGGCCGGCGCCATTGTTGGCACGGGGAAGCCGGATGGAGCCGCGGTCGGAGGCGGTTGGCTCCGCGTGGGCGGGAGGGTTGTCGGTTCCTGTATCCACGATTCTCATTTTGGGAGGGCTGGTGTGCCGCGGCAGCCGGCCTCCGGCACGCGGTGAGTGGGCCCGAGGCGTTTCCTGAAGCGTTCTCCACGCTGTTTGGCCTGAGGTCCCCAAGGACTTGCAGCTTTCGGCTTTCCACCCGCCCCGTGCGCGCCCCCGCGTCCCCTCCGCCTCAGCTTGCTGGCGGTGGGCGACCCTGCGCGCACGCGCGGGAAGAGCCAGCGGCGAGGGGCTGCGGGGGGAGCGGGGCGGAGGCTGCGGCCGCTTCTCCGGTCTCTCCTCCTTCCCTTTGTTGAGGGCTGGCTGGGGTTCTCCCACCTCTTCGGTCAAGGTGGGGGAAAGAAAACCTTAACGGTCTGCGCCTAGGTTACGGGGAAAAAAAACCTTTAAACGACGTGGAAGCTACGCTGGCTTGTGGGGGCGAGAGGGATTCGATGGTCAAAGTGGAGATGCTAGAAGTTCTGTGATTGAGAAACATCCTTCGGAGGGGGAGGGGAACTTGCTTTCTTGTGCTCTTAATCAGTTTCATAAACCGCTCCCTCTCCTCCTTCCCAGTGCCCAAATGTTTTTTATTTAGGGAGTGTATGGTTTATCAGGTTTGCCAAAGACAATGATAATCTAATAACCAATAAGCTGATCCTATTGGTGCTCTTTTTGATTACGGCTGTCAGTACTGGAAAGAGAAACCGGAAGAATCCAGATAATAGTGGCGTTAGTATGGAGCTTTCCCGTGAAGGAGGGGAGGAGGGGGGGCCCAGCTGCTGTAGGAAGGCCTTTGAATTAGTCCCCGATAATTATTAGCTAATACTTAGTTCATTAGAATCTATGGCTGAGTTACCAAAGGGATTGATTGTTACCTTGTGTGAAGTTTAGGGAAGGTGGTTTTTGGTTTTTTTGTTGTTGTTGTTGTTTTTACCAGATTTGGGAACGAACAGATTTCTTTGCCTTAACTCTGATTTTAACTATTAAAAATTTACAAGTGAAAGTTAAAACTGTATTTCATTTTAGGCTGTAGAAAATGGTGAAAGAAACCACTTACTATGATGTTTTGGGGGTCAAACCCAATGCCACCCAGGAGGAATTGAAAAAGGCTTACAGAAAACTGGCCTTGAAGTACCACCCTGATAAGAATCCAAATGAAGGAGAGAAGGCAAGTGATGTAGTCATACTTTTAAATGTAGCTGTGTGATTCTTTGTCAGTTGTATAGTACTTAGAACAATCTGACGAGTATGTGTAATACGCTGCCTACCTTGCAACCCTTTTAAAGTGAAATTTCTTTCAAACAGTTTAAACAGATTTCTCAAGCTTATGAAGTGCTCTCTGATGCAAAGAAAAGGGAATTATATGACAAAGGAGGAGAACAGGCAATTAAAGAAGGTGGAGCTGGTGGTGGTTTTGGCTCCCCCATGGACATCTTTGATATGTTTTTTGGAGGAGGAGGCAGGATGCAGAGAGAACGGAGAGGTAAGAATAACCTAGTCCACGTGGAGCAAATTAAAGTAGCCCGTGGTGAAAGCAAATTCTTGAGAAATCCTCTATTTGAAACGTTTACATGTTGGTATAATGTTGCAAACCAACAAACTGCCACTTTGATTTATGATGTAGTTTTTTAAACTGAGATTGATGTAGACAAAAATAGCTAAGCCAATCCTACCCTAAAGAGAATACTTGTAATGCTCTCTTATATGTATGATTTCAGGAAGGTTACCAATCGTTAATTGAAGGAATAGAGTATAGGGGCATACTTTTCAAACCCTTTTTAGAGATCTTATTTGATCCCTTCTCCCCAGAGCCAGAAATTAAATTTTTTCAAGGTTATATATAGCAAGGCATTAGTAGAATGAGGAATGGAGCCCAAGTTTATTGCCTCTAAATAGCTTATGGTGTTTAATCTTGTTTCAGCTTTATTAATAGAATATGTGCCTTTAACGTTTAATAGAAACGTAGTTACAGAATTTATCTTAGAACAATTTGCAGTCAAAGTTCATTGTTCTAAGGTTGGGTGATTTGTCCCACAGAAAAACAAGTGGTTTTTAGGGGCGGGTAGTTAAGGAACTGACTGGCAAACTTTGACCTTGATTAATGAAAGGTGCGTTTTTTGGTGTGATAATGGAGCATATGTAATCACACTAAAGTTTTATTTTCTTTCCCATATTCTCAAATCTATAAAGCTAAAGTAAGAGGGGCAGTTTCCAGTATGCTAGAATCAACTACATGGGAATATATTTTATTTTATTTATTTATTTTATTTTATTTTATTTTTTTTCATGGGACTATATAGGACCAAAGGTGGAGCTACGAACAAAAGGATGTAGTTACTGGAGCTGCACGCTTCTTTGCAAACAAAGTGTTCGTTAGACATGTCCAGCTACTAGTGAGGGAGCTTTTTTCACTTGGGCATGAGGCAGTACTGTTCTGTGGTGGATACAAGTCTCTGGAAGAATCAGTAACTAGGAACTTATTAACCATTGGCAGATGACCTCATTTCTGTAGCCTTTGTATCCTTATGCAATCTCCACCTTCCACTTCACATTTTAAAATGAGATATGGCACTCCTTTGTAGCCATTGGCCACATTTAAATTTAGATTAATTCAAAACATTTTTCTGTGGTAGCCTCATTTACATTCTAAATAGCCACATGTGATTAGCAGCTACCGTGTTAGATATCACAGATGTAAGACCTTTCTGTCACCGCAGGAAGGTCTGTTGGACAGCATGATTAAGTACTGCTGCCCTAAAAGTAAGTGTAGTGTGCTACTCTTTAGAGAAGTGGGAATTGATAGTCTTCTATGGAGACTGGATAAATAAATCTGCTTCCCTGGCCAATCTTGCTTACTTGGAACTTAGTGACAAAGAGTTTGTGGATGAAGTGATTGGCTACGTCATTACCATACTGAAGTGAAAGATTCAAAGAATATTAGAGATGCAGTTTGGATTAATTTATTGTGAAACTTGATATTTAACATTGGTTTTCCCAAGTGATTTTGCAGTTGAGGTTTTTGACTGCTGTAGTTTGTAAGGTAGCCACAAATGCGTCCTTAGGCGAGATACTGTCCACCCAATTTTCCTCATCTGAAATTACATTTCAGTTTGAGGATCACAGGTGATAGTGTGACCATCTTGTGTAATAGGTGCTCAACAGGTGTATCCTGTGAAATACATCTTTTCATTCTCTTTTTTTTTTAAAGTGGGATGAACGTATATATAAATAGCATCTCAGATTTTTAATGAGCAGTGTTTTGTTTTAGGTAAAAATGTTGTACATCAGCTCTCAGTAACCTTAGAAGATCTGTATAATGGCGCAACAAGAAAACTAGCTCTGCAAAAGAATGTGATTTGCGATAAATGTGAAGGTATGGTCTTTTAATACCTATAACTGAAAATGAAACTGAAGCTCTTCCAGATACATAAAACTGACAACACACTACCTAATACAAGTAGGAAGAAAATCTGAACCTACCACCTTGAGAAATATTAGCAACATACCACTCTTTTTCATGTGTTTTTAAATGCATTTGGGATCAATCTAATTTGATGTCGTTGGGATCAATCCAATTCAGAGGTGAACACTTCCTGTTCTCTCTCAAACTTATTCTAATGGTTCAGAACCTGTAAGACGGTTTTAAGTGTCCTCTTTTTTTAGACATTTAACTGTTTAATTCTTAGCTAAGAACCTGATCTTTTTAATAAACTATTCGGAAGTAGGTTATTATCTAAAGAATAAATTTTTAAATGTTTCCATCTTAACAGGTAAAGTAGCACTAAAAATAGTGCTTTGAGAGCACAATTTTTAAAACAAAATTTTGAAATGGTGCTTTGGGAAGACCACAGTCAAATGTCAGTAGATAACTGAAGCTGGTGGTGGCTATATTTTATCAAATGTAAAAAGGCTGAATTGTAGACAGCATCCATCAGATCTTGGAAACTAAATGTAATGTTTGAGAACTCATTTAAAAATTTTGTTATTATATCTGATACTCAATTTAAACATTTCTTTTTAAACTGTTCAGGCCGAGGTGGTAAGAAAGGAGCAGTCGAATGTTGTCCCAATTGCCGAGGTACTGGAATGCAAATAAGAATTCATCAGATAGGACCTGGAATGGTTCAGCAAATTCAGTCTGTGTGCATGGAGTGCCAGGGCCATGGGGAACGGATCAGTCCTAAAGATAGATGTAAAAGCTGCAACGGAAGGAAGATAGTTCGAGAGAAGAAGATTCTAGAAGTGCATATTGACAAAGGTGAGTCTGAGGCACTTTGTCATTTTGAATTCCTGAGTGCTGTGGCAAGTTTAATACTGTATTTTATAGTTACTAAAAATTATCCTTAGTAGGCTTTATGTATGATCTTATCACCCAGAGATAACTCTTAGCCACAAAGCAAATGCTTTTTCATCCCAAGCCTTCGTATATTTATAGAGAATTCTTCAGGGATCTCCTCACTTAATATAACACTGACATCAGCAAATGATTGGTGTTTCACACTTAATTCTTTTCTATTAAATCATTACGTTGTCTTTTTTTTTTTTTTTTTGGTCTACTTTTTTTTTAATTGGTATTCACACATTATTAATTTCCTTGGGGACTGCTAGATT